ACGAGGAGGATCCGAGTAAACCCAGGATGCGTCAATGATTCTGCAATACACCCTCCTGTCCCAAGACCCCTCCGCAGAATCCCCATACAAACGTTCCTTTTGCACTGCGGGAACTCCCCCCTTGAAAGGTAACGCCCCATCGGCCTGCCATTCAGTCCAAAGCCCCGTCTTGGAAACATCCGTCCTCCATCCGCGTAGCGGATGTGTAAATATCGATCTGCCTGAGAAACAAATTGCCACCGTGCCAGTCCAGCATGCTCGGCGGCTCTCGTTCGAGGGGGCAGCGGATGTCGTTCTCGCAAGGGGTCAACGACATGATAATTATGAATGGTCGTGATGATTATGATGAGGATGAGGATGATGATGAAGATGATGATTATGATGATGGTGATGTGATAACGGTGCCGACGACGACGACGACGACGACGACGACGACGACGACGGCGACGACGACGACGATGATGATGATGATGATGATGATGATGATGATGGTGATGATGCTGGTGGTGGTGGTGATGATGGTGATGATGAGAATTCGGTGATGATGGTCTTTCGGGCCGTTTGCCCGTTTCCACGCGGAAAAACATACACCCGAAAACCAGAATACCTACACATCCTAAGATCCCACGACCCTAATACCCTAAGACCATAACGCCCTAAGGCCTTAAGACCCTAAGGTCCTAATGCCCCATGACCCGCATACCCTAAGGCCATAAGACTCTAAGACCCTAAGCCTCTAATGCCTTAGTTCCATAATGCTAGAATGCCCTAGGACACTAACACCCCAAGACCCTAAGAACCTACTAACCCCAAGACCATAACGCCGTAATGCCCTAAGACCGTCAGACTCCTAGGACCCCAAGACCCTAGTACCATACTACCCTGAGACATTGACGCCCTAAGACCCTGATACCCTACGGCCCTAACACCGGAACACCTCAAGACCCGAAGACCCCAGGGCCCGAACACCCTAAGATCATAAAGCCCAGAGACCCTAAGGCGCCAAACCCATAGGACCCTAGCATATGAAAACCATAGGACCTTGAGAACCTAACACCCTAAGTCCCTAAGACCCGAACGCCCTAAGACCCTGCCACCCAGACACCCGAAGGCCCTAATACCATAACACCCTAAGACCCTAAGACCCTCATCATACCGTGCTGCCCTAACACCATAATGCTTTATTGCCATGCTACCACCAATGCCACAAACCATATATTTATTGAACGCCCGAATGCCACAAAACCCTAATACCTTCAAGTCCGCAGACCCTGATGCCGGAACACCGTAATACCTCAATACCATAAGATCCGGACAACTAACGACCTTAAGACCCGAAGGCCCTAATACCCCAGAACCCTAAGACCCTAAGACCCTAATGCGTTGAACATCTAGCACACATACACCCGAAGGTCTCCATACCCTAACACCCCAATGCCTTAATGTTCGGATGCCTGATTATGCTAACACATGAATTCCTGTATACCATCATACCAGATCACCCTGATACCACAATACACAAGTACCCTAAATCCCAAAGACCCTAATACCTTAATACCTTAAAGTCCCAATACCGTAAGACCCTAATTCCCACAGACCTTTCGACCCCAAGACCCCAACATCTTAGAGCCCTACCACCCTCACACCCTAAGACCCTAATACCCGGATGGCCTAACACCAGAACCCCAATTTCATCATTGATACCCTAATACCCTAATACCTTGATCCCCTGCTATCTCAATACCTTCATGCCCGAACACCTGAACACCCGAAGACCCCAATACCCTACTACACTAACCTGCGAACGCCCTTACACACGAATGCCCCAATACCCTGAGACCCCAAGACACCAATTGTCTCATACCCTAACACGCGAACACCTTAATACCCAAAGGCAGTTACACCCGAACGCCCTAATACCCTGATGCCTTGATACCCGAATACCCTAAAACCCTGACGCACGGATACCGCAAAACCAAAAGGCCATAATTCCCGAATGCCTTGATATACTGATACCTTCATACCCTGTTTCCCAAATAACCTAACACTAGAACACCAGAATGCTCTATTACCCTAAGACGCGAACGCGCAAACACAGTAGTACCACACTACCATCTCACCCTATGACTTAAAAGCCCCGGCAACCTCAGACCTTAAAGCCAGAAAACTTCAAGACCCGAAGACTTCAACGCCCTGATACCCTGAGACGCTGATGCCCGAATACCCGAATACCCTGATGCCCTAACGACCGAACACCCTAACACCATAATATTCCAATACCCTAGCACCCGAACGCCCTCCTACCCTAGAACGCCAATACCCTAAGACCTTGAGGCCCTAACACCCTGAGACCATAATACAGTAATACCCTGATGCAATCATGCCCTAAAGCCCTCAGGGCATAACACCCTGAGGCCCTGAGACCAGACGGCCCTGATACCCTAATACCGTATGACCCTAACACCCTAAGTCCCTAAGACCCAAAAGTCCCTCACACCGTAAGACCCTGAGACCCAAAGGCCCTAGCACTTCCTCGCCCTAACACCCGAATACCGTAGTACGCTGATACCTTCATACAGTAGTACCACAATGGCCCGATGCCCCAGGACCCTCATCTCCTAATACCCGAAGGCTTCCACACCTTAAGACCCTACTACCTAAGAGGCTAACGCCTGATACACCGATACGCCAAGGCCGTAATACCATAACACCCTAAGACAATACGACCCTACGACCCTCATACTCTCATGCATAATACCTCAATGCCCTCAGACCCTAATGCAGTATACATTAACACCTGAACGCCCTAATACCCGAATGCCCTAGTACCCTGAGACCTGGGGCCCGAGGACCCTAGGGGCTTACGAGTCTAGCACCCGAAGGCCCTAATACCCCAAGACCAGAATATCCTAAACCCCTAAGGCCATAGTACCCTAAGGCCCTCAGGCCTAATACCCTAAGACTCAAAGGCCCGAAGGCCCTAATACCCTGAAGGCGTAAGACCTTAAGATCTTAACACCCCAAGGCCCTAATACCCAAGACCCTAACACACCGAATACCGTGATACGTACATATCCGAACACCCTACGGCCCTAATGCATTCAGGTTTGAAGACCCTCATGTCATGAGGCTCTAAGATCCTGCGGCTCTAAGGCTCTAACACCCTAGAGCCCGAGGACCCTGATTCCCCGAGACCCTAAGACACGAAGACCCGATTAGGCGAATACCCTGATACCTTGATCTCGTAATCCATGAATGCCCGAATACCCTAAGACCCTAACCCCCAAATAGTCTCAGACCCGAATGTCCGAGGACCAGAAGACCCTTAACACCTAAAACCTGAATGCCCTGAAGCCCCATGACTCTAAGACCCTGGGGCCCGATTGCCACAATACCATGACACATATGATACCCTGGTACTACTATACCCGGACACCCTGATAGCCGAATACCCGAAAGACGCTCAGACCCTGAGACCCTTGAGTCCCATCATCCTGAAACCCTACCCGAAGGCCCTAAGACCCTAACACATGCTACCTCAATGCTCTAAGGCCCGACTACCTTAGCATCTTCAGGCCCGGCTGACCGAGTCCCCGCATACACTGTTACACGAATGCATTACTACCTTGATACCATAATACCCGATTGCCCTAAGACCCTAATTCCCGACGGCCCTGAGACCGCAAATTCCGAACATCCGAAGGCTCTAGCACTTGCAGACCCGATTTTTTTGTTTAAAAAAAAAAAAAAAAAAAAAAACCAAAGACATTAGCCTCCAAAGGCCCTAACGCTTCAAGTTCGTAAGGCCTGGAGGCCCTCATACCCTAATTTCCTAAGACCATAACGCCCTCAAGCCTAAGACCCTAAGGCCCTAAGACCCTAAGACCCTAGGAGGTCAAGACCCGAAGGCCCCAAGCCCCTGATACCCTACTGCCCCGTTCCAGTAGCCTACGACCCGGATGCCTTAAGACCCTAAGACTGGACGACCCTAAGTATCGAAATGCAATCCTTTCTAACACTCAGGTGCCCGAATACGCGAATACCCTAACACCCCATTGCCCTAATACCTTAACACCCTAATGCCCGAAGGCCCTAATGCCCGAAAGCCCTATCACCCGCAGGCCTTAAGACCCTACTACCCGAACACCTTAAAACCTTAATGCTGTGAGTACCCGAGTGCCGGACTTAATGCCTGCAGACCTTGAGACTCTAAGGCTTGAGGCCCTAAGGCCCTACGCTACGACCCTGTTCCCGAAGGCCCTAATGCTATAAGACACTAGTGCCCTAAGACCCTAAACCTACGACCCTAAGACCCTGCGCACTAAGACCCTAAGACCCTCGTACCCTAATAACCTATGACCTTCATACTCTCATACCATTCGTACACTGATACCCGGGTGCCGAACAACACGAACGTCCTAATACCCGAATTCTATCTTACATGAATGCCCTAAGATTCGAAGGCCGTCAGACAAAAGTACCCTGATACACTAAGACCCTCATACACCATTACCCCAAGACCCGCAGACCGTAAGTCCCCGAGACCCAAGACCCTAATGCCCTAACATCCGAAGGTGCAGTACTACCCGATGTTTCAAATACCCCGATACTCGAATATCCGAATACCTGAATGCCCTGATACCCTAATACAATAATACTCGACTGAACGAATACTTGAATACGGAAATACATCAATGACATGGGTCCGTACCCTAATAACATAATACTCAAAGACTAAGACCTGGATGCTCTAGGGACCCAAATCCGTAAAACCTACTACCAAAACGCCGTAAGACCGCAATGTGTTTTCGCGTGTCCAGGCTACCCCGGGTGGTATCGAACATGGTGTCCCCGAGCTGGGGTCACGTGTTCTCACGTGTCCAGGCAACCCAGAGGTGTACCTAACATGGTTGCCCCTAGCTGGAATCTTGTTTTCCACGTGCCCAGGCCCCGCCGTGTGGTATCTGACATGGCGGTCCCGAGTTAGACCCACGTATTTTCACATGTCCTGGCCACCCGGCCACCAAGGGTGGCATCACACCCTAAAGCCCTACTGGACTCAGACCGTACCCCCCCGCCTGCCATAAGACCCCAAGGTCCTGATACCCCAAGTCCCTGAGACCCTAAGACCCTGAAAACCCAAGACCCTACCACCCCGACGCCCAAACGCCCTAATATCTTAATTCGCTGATGCCCCCATACCAAAACAGTAGAATACCCGGATACTCCCATACCCCGAAGACCCTATTCCCCTCATACCTTAATCCTTGAAGACCCCCCTGCTTCCCTAAGACCCTTACACCTCATGGCTCATTACCCCAAGGCCCCAATACCACACTGCCCTAATACCCTAGGTCTTAAGACGCTAAGACCCTAAAACATACTTCCTCGATGCCCTGATACCAGAACACCTTTTAAACCCATCACACTCTAATTCCATTACGCCCTGAGATCCTAAGGCCCGAATGCCTTCAGAGCTGAAGACCCTAAGATCCTAACACTGTAAGGGGTTAGACACCCTAAGACCGTAACGCTTAATACCTTAACGCCGTGAGACCCTCGGACCCGAATATCCAAAGACCCTCCGGCCCTAAAGCCCTCAGGCTTCAATGCCCTAAGGCCCGACGGCCCCAAGACCCGAAGGCTCCAAGGCCCTAAGGCCCTAGGGCTCTATTGCCTTTAGACCAGACCCTGAGACGCTAAGACGCTGGGACCCTAAGACCATAAGACCCCAATGCACTAATACCCGATTGCCCTGATACCCTAAAATCGTAATGCCTCAATACACTAAGACCCTAAGTCCTTAATACCCGAAGACCTTTGCCCCCCCCGCCCCCCTATACCCGAAGACCTGAGTGCCCTAAGACCAGCAGGCCCGAACACCTGATTCCTCAATACCCTAGGACCCATAAAGCCCTAGCGCCCTAATACCCTAATGCCTTAATATTCGAATACCCGAACACCCTAAATCCCAAAGACCCAAAGACCCGACGACTTTAGACTCCCAACGCCCTACGACCCTAACGCCCTAATACACTAAGACCCGAACATCTAATATCTCAATACCCCAAGGGCCGAAGACCCAATTCCACGAATGCCTTGATACCCTAGTCCCCTACTGCCCTGATGCCCTAATGCCCTAACTTCTAATGCCATGACACTCTAAGGCTCCAAATACCCTAAAAACCCAAGGTCTTCAGATCTTGATTCCTCGTGCCAAAAGACCCTAAGACCCCAAGGCCGGAATGTCGTAAACCCTGAGCCCCTAAGGTTCGAACACCTTAAAGCCCTAACACCCTAGGACCAGATAGCCTAAAGCAAGAAGACTTATTACCCAGAGATCCTAACACCCTAAGACAATGAGACCCTACGGCCTTCAGACCCGAATAACCTAAAACCTAGGACCCTGATTGACTAAGACCCCAATGCCCTAAGACGCTAAGAGCATGATACCCTAAGACCCGAAGGCCCTCAGACCCTAACGCCCTTACACCGTAATGCCCCAATGCCCTAAGATCCCAATGTCCTCTGACCCCCAAAGCGTAAGACCCTAAAACCTGAATGCTTTAACTTGATAGTTCACTAGAGCGCTGAGACACGAACACCCTAATTCCCGAATGCCCGAACACTCCTAACACCCTAGCGCATTCACACCGCAATGCCTTAAGACCCTGAAGCCGCCCCGATGACTGGCACCCGCATGCCCTAAAACAGTAATACCCTAAGACCTTCATACCATAATACCCTAATACCTGAATGCCCCAATACCCTAAGACGCAAACACTGTAAGGCCCTGAGACTCTAAGACCCTAACACCCTAGGACCTTGATGCCCTGAGACCTTCATACTCTAAGACCCTCATGCCATAAGTCCCGAACACCCTGATACCCTAAGACCCCAAGGCCCTAATACGCGAAGACCCTAAAACCGTAAGACCCGAGGACCCTAAGACCCAACGACACCCCTTAATATCTTAAGACCCGAATGCCCTAAGACCCTAAGGCCGCAAGACCGTCATACATTAGTTCAATCATGCCATGATGCCTGGATACCTTGAGACCCTAACACCCTAATGCCATAACACCCTGACGCCACAATACCATAATACCCTGATCTCCCAAGACTCTAAGGCCGTAAGATCGTACGACCCCAAGGCCCTCAAGCCGGCGAGCTTGAGCCCCCTAGGGATTTGAAGGGGGCTACGTGGGCCCTCCTGGTGGCCTCCCATGGCCCAGGCCGTCCAGAGGCTGTCTCGGGGGTCCCCCGGGCCGTCCCGGTGCGACACTGGAGGCCTTTGTGGCTGTTTTGGGCGCTGCTAAGACCCGAACAGCGAATTTGCTGAAAATGCACGTTTCCCAGAGGGAATGAAGCGATTTCTGCATTCTGGGAGTCCTGTTCAGGGCCTCTTGGGCCGTCTTGGGGGCCTCGGGAGGCCATCTGGGTGCTTTTTGGAGCGCTTTTGTGCTGTCTTGGGTCTCTCTTCGGTCTCTCTGATCACCTGTCTGATCGCCTGGGGTGTGCTGGCAAGACCTGGCCAAGCGCCCTGCGGGGTCCGGGACCATTCCTGCTGTCTTATCCCCCTCTGCATCCATCCGTCTTCGATCCCCCTTCATACTTTCCTCGTCCCCCTGCCAGACTCAGAACCCAAATTATTATTTAGCAGATCGTGCTGTTTGACATTGTTGGTTTTCAATGATTGTTCCATCGAGTATGCTTCGTCCATCACTGCGTCTTGTGATGCATTGTCAATGATTTACCTTACCGGGGGCAGGTCACCGATCACGAGACCATCTGCGTCCCCGCGCGCGATAAGGCCTGCAGCCCGCGAGCCGCGCACTCTCTTGTTGCGCGTGCGGCGACTGGCCAGTCTTGCCGCCAGGAGGCGGCGGCGGCGGCCTTGGAGGAACAGGGGGTGAGAGGACGGAAGGAGGAGGCGGCGGCGGCAGAGGAGACGGACGACACGGCGGAGCAGAGAGATAGTCTAGGCCTCTTAGATGGGTTCCGAGTAGATGGGTTCGGAGGATCGCGCCGCATCGCCCATGCATCGGCGATGCGGCTCGATGTGGAGCCCGAGTTTCTCCACGCCGACGTCGCCTGTGCAACTTCACCGACGTTGCTGGTGCATCGCCGATGCATCGCCGATCCATCGCTGATGCATCGGAGATGCGGCGTGATCCTTCGACCTCATTTACTCGGACCCCATCTAGGAGGCCCCTAGATAGAGGGGGGGGGGGAGTGGGAGAGAGAGAGAGAGAGAGAGAGTGAGAGAGATACGGAGAGATACGCAGAAAGACAGGCGGGGGGTAAGAGTGAAGGAGGGGAGGGGAGGGGAGGGGGAGGTGGAGCAATGGTGGTTGAGGCGACGGTGGGGTTGTCTCGTTGGGGATTCCCTGCTCGTGGGTCTTCTGCCATGAAGCCCCGCTTCTTTGGGACCATGGCCAGGCATTGTCAGCCGGTGTGCCCAATTGCGGAAGGAATCCTCCAGGGTCGCGGAGTTGGTAGAACACCAATTTGTGCTTGGCCATTGATATCAACGACGCCCTCATCAGATAAGGAATCATCCAGGGTCTGAAGTTTCCTGGGCACATTCCTCAACGAACGCCCTCACCGTACCTCTTCGGAGGATGTCAGGATTTGGGCGTCGTTAGGGTATTTGTAATATCTCGAAGGCCGCAGGGAGGGTTCCCCCCAGCTGCTCAGCAACTGATCACTCGCCGGCCATGAGGGATCCGTCGAGATGTGCCACTCACGGGAGGAGTGCACGTGACCCCTCGACGCGCCTAAACAAGAGGATTGCAACGATTGTTATTGATTCCCCTTTCTACTCGCCCCTCCCTCGCTCCCCTCCCTCCCTTCCTCGCCACTCTTCTGCTTCACAGTTTGGCGCTTCGTTCTCTACTTCACAGTCGTGATGCGCACCGCTTCTATGCGTCGCAGTCCTACAGTCGCATTTCCGTACGCACGCATTCGACGTGTAGCGTTTTCTTTGCGTGCCCCGAGGAGTTGCCAATTGCGCACTCTTCTGCCCACGCCTCCTTCCGGGTGCTCGGCATCGTGGTGGTGGTGGTGGACTGTTTGGGGAGCTTTTTTTTCCTGACCAGGTGAGTTCCCCCCCAGTCGCGCCTCCCGGCTCCTCGCACCGTTTCACCCCCCGAGCTGGTGTTTCCGCACGGGACGTCGGTGCTCGTGCCGTCCCCTCTGGGGCTCTCCCACTGCAGTCAACCCGCATGGCAAGGATAGGCAATCCTCCCAGGGCTACCCATTGCTCATCTCGAAGTCTTCGAACATTCCTTGACTCTTTGGGGGCCAAGATCCTTTCACTTCTAATTGTTCTATCCTGGGCCTCTTCCTGGCCCTTAGGGGGCCAGGAACAATCAGAAACGAGCACAATTAGAAATGAGCACGATTAGAAATGAACGACGTGTACCCGTGCATCCTTGCCCCGTCGGCCCATGCTTAGCGACTTTCGCTGGCCGTTCTCGTTCGACAAACGCGAGCATGGGCCTCCAAGGCCCTTGCATCCTTACCGCGCATCCTTCTGACACGGGCCGACTGTATTACCCCCCCCATCAGGGTTCAAGCCCAGGCTGCTGACGCGTCCGTAGCCATTTTGGCTCAAGGCAGTTGGCTCAAGCCATTTTGGCGCACCTTACCTCAAGCCACCGGCCACCAGCGCCTCGCGACATCATGAGCTCCAGTGGCACAGATGACGAGGAGATGCAGCGGGCCTTCGAGGCCGTGAAGGCCGCCAAGGCCATGAAGGCAGTGAAGGCCAAGCGCAGCGTGAAGATCACCAGGCAGGTGCAGCAGCACATGCAGCAGGCAGCTTCCCGCGGCCCTGACGACCAGCACAGTGGACAGCACGCATCTGGGCGACCGGGCGACACTGCGACCAGGCCTGGCAGCACAGACTGCCAGGGGCATGCGGCGATGCCTGTCCCTCACCGCGTTGCCAAGCCCGAGCTGTCATGCTCTGCGAGCGTCAAGGACTCATAGTTGCAGTGAGAGTCCTCCTGCAGGTCGGCCGTCGTCCGTGCCCTTCTCTCTCGACAGCTATTGCTGCGGTTGTCGCTCATCTCCCTCTCCCACCTTCTCCAAACCACCCGCTCCAGCTGAGCCGGCCCCCCTCTAACGTTCTACCTCATCTGCGCCGCCCTGGGCGGCCTCTAGCGATCACCATTGCGGTGGCATTTCTCTTCGAAGTTTTTGCGTCGGGCGCCATTCTGGTATGGGTGTGTTCCTTCAAGATGTCCACCGAGGCGCGAACACCTGGGGCCTAGTTGCCCATGCTGAAGCTGCAGCTGCTTTCGTTAGGAGAGTGACATACAGCATGGCAGCTGCGTCAGCGTGTACATTCAAGGAGGCACATGCTCAGTCATGCAAGCGTGATGGAATTTGTGAAGCCGAACCTGCCGTTCGCTCTATTTGCGCCGTCGCTCAATGCGGAGACTCTTCGGTATGCCATTCGCGCCTAAGCGCGCTGGCCTATCGGCTCCACCGGGCGTGGCCAGTTTTATTTTTTCAGGGCTTTGACTGTGGATTCGAGTGCACATTGCTCCAGACCGTTGTACAGCACTTGCTTTGAACTCGTAGCACGGTGCAGTCCCCTTCCCATCAGATGGGGGGCCAGCTCATCGACACTGAACTCTTCCTCTGCCGCCCTCGCGCTCCGCAAAAAAAAAAGCCCAGGCTGCTGACGCGTGAACGGGACACCGCCGGCGTGCAAGTAAAGCTCGAGGATCTCGAGTGCACAAAGTAATCCCGCACTGCGGGAGTTGCTATGACCGTGACCGTCCGTCGCGCGCTCGTGTACCTCACGTGGAGCATTGAATATGGCAGCGGCTCGGATCGATCTCCTACACGTGCTACGCCAATGTTATGCCGCTTTGCTGCCGAAGCGACCACCAGGAGACACGGGCGTTCAATGAGGTTGAGCGGTCTCGCGCATCGTTCGCGGCCCGGGGATGTTGATGAAAGCTCTTGGACGGCACCCGCCGTGCATTGCTTGAGCCAGAATCTTCGACGGGCTCGGTCCTACGGTCGGGCCCCGCTGTGTGGTACCAGTCGTGCTCGCCGAACCCGTGGTGTGCTCATACTGTTCGACACCGAGGCGGCGCGGCAGCACCTTCAGTTTCGGTTGAACTTCGTATCCTTGCCGCCTGTGGATATCGGCGGTGTGACCGAGAGGAGCGGCCGAGGGGGCGTGCCTTCTCGGGCTCAGAAGGCCTCGAGGTTCCTGGGAGGCTTGCGGAGCCTCCTCCGAAGCCGCCGAGGGCTTCTCGGAAGGCCGGACGCCTTCTGAGAGGGGCCTTCGGGTGTTGCCAGAAGTGCGCCCCTGGCCCAAGGTGCCCCCAGGATTTCCCAGGAGGCCCCCACGGCCTCCACAGAGCACCCCTCACGAGGCCCAGAGGGCCCGAGGGGCTCCAAAAGGGAGCGGCAAGCTGGGGGGGGCTCCCCGGGCCAGGGGCACTGCTGGCAAGCCCCGAGGCCTGCCCCCGTCTGCCTTCCCCCCCCCCCCCGGGCGCGCCGCCGAGAGTGGCGCTCCGGGCAGCGAGACCAAGCGCCATGCAGCGCGGTCGGCGCGCGGTCGGCGCGCGCTCGTGCTTTTTCTCGGGCTGCGGCGGCCTGGCCGCACGGCTCTTGCGGCGGGCCCCTCGGTCTGCCGATGGGCGGTGGCCCCGACGGGCCTCGGAGGAGGGCAAGGGTTCCCACACCGCTGCCCTCCCTTCGTCTGTCCTCTATGTGGGCCTCTTGGGAGGCCCTCGTCGCCACCGCTGGGGTCGCCCCGAAAGTCTGGCCAGAGCGCATCCAGGGAGAGGTCTGGGGAGTGGCGGCATCGGTGAGCGTGTTTTCTTTCTCCCCAGGGTGGCGCTCGTCACCGGCCACCCCCCCCCCCCCCACAATCCCCTGGGGTAACGCTAACGATCGTACCAGGGGTGGGGGCCTGGACGCCCGCCCTGCATGCTGTGGTGCACGCGGGCAAGTGATGCGGCGGTGGCGCGGACGCACCCTGGCGGGTGCACGCCGAGGCCGCCGTTGCCGTTGCCCTCCCCGCCCGAAGCCCCCACTCCCGCGTACCCGGAGGAGAACAGCAAACGGCCACTCGGTACTTTTTTGGTTTCCCCAGGTTCCGTCGGCCAGGGCGGCGCGCTGGAAGGGTCCCCCCCGCGCGCCCACGCTTTTGGGCGATCTCGCGGGGGCCGTCGCGAGAGCCCGCAGCGGGCGACGGCGCGACGGTTCGAGGCTGCGCAGGGTGATCGCGGTTCTCGCTTTGATGTTGGTGTTGGGGGGGGGTGCTCGAATCTCGGGTGCTCCGTGCCTAGGGCACCCCTGCGCCCTGCCCGTCTCCGTCTGATCCAGTCCGTGCCGCAACTTGCTCCCCCTCTGCCTCTGCTCCCTTGGCCTCCCCATTCCCATCACCGTTCTCCTCTGCTCCCCTCTCTCCTTTCCCTTCCCTTTCGCGCACATCTCCAGGTTGTTGTTGCCCCTTGCCCCCCGTCCCCCTTTTTCTCCCCCGTCCTTTTCCGCTCCTCAGATGGGAACAGTCGCCCCGCCACCTGCCGAGCTCCCCCATCCCACCACAAGTGCTAGACCGGCCCCTGTATGGAGCGGGTGGAAAGGAGTTGGTGGTTGGTCTGACTCGGCATGGCCTTGTATGGAGGGCCACCCTCTCCCCCACCCGGCCTGTCCGCACTGCATTGTACTCCGCGGAAGAGTTCGCCAGTGCCGAGCTCCCCAAGCAAAGCACGATCCAGAAGGCCCAACCACTTTGGGCCGAGGAGCCGCCCTGGGCAATCCTACTCTTCTGGGAGGGGCCAGCATCGTCTTATCTATTCCCGCCCCTACTGGGCCGTGGTATCTCAGCCCTGCCAGCCCACCCCCCTTGGTGGGGATACGCCCTTCGAAACCCCGAAGGTCAGGCACGCACACATATGTACATATAGAATATCTACATACAGAGAGAGTGAGAGAGAACGAGAGAGAAAGAGAGAGCGAGAGAGAGATGAGGAGGCCCCTGGGGGGGTGCGGACCAGTGCCAAAGTGCCGCATGGGGGGCCAAACGAGCCTCGACCCGCTAAAGGGGTCTTCCAGAGGGCCCAGGGGGCACCGAAACGTCCCCAGCACGCCCACCACTGCTTCGAGACGGCCCACGAGGCCTCCAAGACGCCCCACGGGGGCTCCAAACTGCTTTCTGTGTGAGCCCAAACGGGCATAAATCATTGATGTCGCCTTACGGCTGGTGCCGCCGATCCTGAAGGGGGACGACGACGAAGACAGCGACGATGAAGAGCTTCAAGAAATTAAGGAATGGGAGGGTGGAGGAGAGGGGGGCGGAGGAGGTGAAGGGGAAGGGGACAAGGAGGGAGGAGGGACGATACTTAGAAGGAGGAGGAGGAGGAGGGATGAGGAGCTGGACGGCGGAGGAGTCGCCATGGTTTTCGCCGTCTACCAGGATGGGGCTGGTGTGTCGCCACCAAGACAACGGGCATCGCGGCAACCACTTTACTGTGCATACGCCGTGGGGCTGCCGACGACGACGACGACGGTGACGCGGGTCAGAGTCCTCAGGGATGCTTCTTGGGGTCTGGTCGAAACGCTCTCGGGGGCCCCGGGGGACAGTGTAGGGGTCTCTCAGGGGGCCTCTTGGGGGCCTGCTGGGTGGGGCTTCCCGGGGGCCTCTCGGGAGTAGCTTGGGGTCTCTTCGGGGCTTCTTGTGGGCCTTTTGGGGGCCTCTTGGTTTCTCCTGGGAGCACTCGGCGCGGAGGGCTCGAAATGTCCGTTTGGGTCCGCCGTCTCGGCACCGTCTTGGAGCGGTTGTGGGGGCTTCTGGGGCCTTTTTGGAGGCGTCCTGGGCCGTCTTGGGACTCTTGGGCCGTTTTGGGTCTCTCGTGGAGCCCTCTGGGGCTGTCTGGGGGCGATATGGATATGGGAGGCCGCTTGGGCCGTCTTGGAGCGTTGGGAAGCGGGAGAGGCAGAAACGCCGAACACATTCAAAAACTTATGGCGACATCTACGATTTTTGTTCTTGAGGCACTCTTGGGACTGCTCCTGGAGGCCTCTTTGAGCGTCTTGCAGGATTCTTGGGCTGTGTGGAGGCCGTCCAGGCGTCTTGGACAGATCGTTCGGCGACCGGGGCCTTCATGGATTGTCTTTGGGAGCTTTTGCGGCCCGAGAGTCCCTGGAGGGGAAACGTGTCTGACTCGCGTCCGGACTCGGGACCCCCCCAGGGGCCTCCCCCCGTTCTGGCGGGGGGAGGATCAAAGGAAAGGGGCTTCCAGTCGAGTGTATGACCACGTTGCTCAATTTCGCTTTGGCTGACGCGCTTGAGGAGGAGAGCCCAGGAAAGGAGAGAGGAGCGGCGACGGGCACAGGGAAAGGAAAATGCAGGGAAAGAGAACGACAGAGACGACGATGAACGAATGACGGCGACGACGACTCGAACGGAAAAGCCCCTCACACACCGGCAGGGTCGGCGTTTTTTCGTGTGGTCGTGCGCTCCGCTGCCCGACGTCCAGAGACGGCACAGGAGGCGAGGGCGCCAAGACGGCGCAAGGGGCGCCCAAGACGGCTCATGAGGGCTCCAGGCGGCCCCCTGCTTAGCTCGGACACGCAACAGTGGTCCTCAAGGAGGCCCACAGGGCCTCAAAACGGCCGCGGCACGCCCGCCGTTGCGTCGAGACGGCCCACGAGGTCTCCAAGACGCCCCAAGAGGAAATCATTGATTCCCGGTTGGTTTTTCAAAGATTTTTCCGTCGTCGCTTGCTCCGGTTCCCGATAACTCGGAGACGGCACGAATTGTATCCAAAAATGTCCCAGCCAGTTCCAGGAGTGCGTCAAAACTGCCCAAGAGGCGCCCGAGACTGCCCAAGAGGCCCCAAGACGGCCTCCCAAATGAGCCTGCACACGCCAAACGGGCTTCCAAGGGGGCCCACAGGGCCCTGCAACGGCCCCAGCACGCCCACCATGGCTTCGGGACGGCTTACGGGGTTTCCAAGGCGCCCCGATGGGACTCCAAACTGCTTCCCGAGAGAGCCCCAATAGGCAAAAGTCGAAGATTATCTGTAGTTTGTTCGAGGATTATGCCGTTGTCGCCTGCTCTGCTTCCCGACGCCCAGGGACGGCTCAAGAGGCCTCCAAGAGAGCCACAATACACACCAAGAGGGCGCCAAATCGTCCCAAGAGGCGCCCAACATGACCCAAGACTCCCCGACAATGCCGTTCGAACGAGCCTCGGCACCCCAAAAGGTCTACAGGCGGCCGAGGAGCCCCAAGACGGCCTCCCAAATGAGCCTCGGCACCCCGAAAGGGCCTTGCAGAGACCTCCACGAGGGACCCAACACGACCGCAACCCTCATTTCCTGGACAGCGTTCCGAGAACGTGATTGTTGCCGCCAGTATTCGGAGGAAATGGTTCTCAAGCATTTTCTCCAACACAACCCAAGACACTTCTCTCAGCCAACACGCCCCCAGAGGGCGCCAAGACGGCCCAAGAGGCGGTCAAGCTGGCCAAACGGGCCCCAAAACGGCCCCCCAACACACGCCTGGACAACCAAAAAGGGCCTTACAGGCGGCCGAGGAGCCCCAGGACGGCCCCCCAAGTACGCCTCGACACCCCTGAAGGGCCCTACAGAGGCCTCCACGAGGGCCCCAGCTCGGCCGCAACTATCATATTCCCGAAGAGACTGCCAGGAACGTGATTGTCACCGCCAGTCCGAGGAGGAAGATCAAAAGGAGGAGGAGGAGGAGGAGGAGGAGGAGGACGAAGAGTAGGAGGAGGAGGAGGCGGTGGAGGGGGACGATGAGGAAAAGGAGAGACGAAGGACGGAGGCAGGGTATGATGATGAGAACGAGGATGACAAAATAGAGGAGGACAAGGGGGTGGAGGAGGAGGAGGAGGGCGGACAGAATGTGGAGGCCGAGGAGCAGGATGGACACGCAACCGCTAAGCCGTTGCTCCATCCCTCTGTCCTTCCGAAGTCGCCCACAGAAGGTCAAGAGGCTTCCAGGAGGTCCCCAACACGGCCCAAACTGCATGTTCCCAGAAAACCTTCTGGGAAACACATTGTTGCCGCCATTCGGAGAATGATGACGAGGAGGACGAGGAGGAGGACACCTCCACGACGAGGGTGAGGAACAGTGCGGAGGTGCGGAGACAGAGGCTGATGATGATGATGCTGATGATGATGATACTTATGATGATGATGATGATGATGATGATGATGCTGATGATGATGATGATGATGGTGATGGTGATGGTGATGGTGATGGTGATGGTGATGGTGATGATGGTGATGATGCTGATGATGATGATGATGATGATGATGATGATGATGATGATGGTGATGGTGACGGTGATGGTGATGATGAGGATGAGGATTAGGATGAGGATGAGGATGAGAGTCATGATGAGGATCATGATAATGATGATGAGGAGGAGGAGGAGGAGGAGCAGACACAACAATGAGGAGGCGGAGGAAATATTGGATTAGGAATCCTCATTCATCCGTTGATCCATCCCTCACCATCTTTCCAGATCCCTCCCTTGTTGCTCTTCCTGCCTCCCTGCTTCCCTTCTTTTCTACCTCCCTCCCTCCCTCCTTCTTCTTCTTCTCCTCCTTTTTATTCCCCGCCTTCGCTCTCCCCCCCTCCCGCGAGCACGACGCTGACGACGACGCCGACGCCGACGCTGCCGTCGACGCCGACGACGCCACTCGCCTTCCTGGCCTCCGGAATTGCACGCTTGCCATGGGAGTGAATGTGGATAAGAATGATGCGGAGGAGGATGAGGCCTTCGGAGATAGCTAGAACCTAAGCCCGTGTAGCGCTCGCGTGGGTCTAGAATTTCATTCGTATGTGTACATTATGTTTCATGCTTGTCTACAAAACGGAGATTGGGGGTGAGTCCGACGTGAAACGGAGACCCCCCACCGGGAAATCGATTTCGGTTTCGGGTTCGTGTCGAGCGTGCCGTGCGTGCGTGCGGGCGGGGCAAAGCTGCGGCTGGGCGGGCAAGAGGAAGTCCTCTTGCGGCTGGGCCGCGGCCGACCAAATGTTTCTCCTCCGGCGGCCGGTGGCCCGCGGTTTCCCATTGGTGTCCCGCTGGTGTCCCGAAATCCTCCTGCGGCTGGGCCGCGGCCGGACCAAATGTTTCTCCTCCGGCGGCCAGTGGCCCGCGGTGTCCCACCGGTGTCCCGCTGGTGTCCCGTGGTGTCCCGTTGAATGAGATCGATACTGAGATCGATAGTGAGATCGATATTGAGATCGATGTGGTGCCCCGAGGTGTCCCGTGGTGTTCGTGGAGATCGACAGTGAGACCGATAGTGAGATCGCCAGGTGTCCCGTGGTGTCCCGTGGTGTTCCATGGTGTCCCGTTGATTGAGATCGATAGTGAGATCGATACTGAGATCGATGTGGTGCCCCGAGTTGTCCCATGGTGTCCAAAAAAGTGAGATCGATAGTGAGATCGATAGTGAGATCGACAAGTGTCCCGCGTTGTCCCGCGGTGTCCCGTTGAGTGAGATCGATCGTGAGATCGATACTGAGATCGATACTGAGATCGATGTGGTGCCCGAGATGTCCCGTGGTGTCTCAAACATTGAGATCGATAGTGAGATCGATAGTGAGATCGACAGGTGTCCCGTGGTGTCCCGTGGTGTCCCGTTGAATGAGATCGATAGTGAGATCGACATTGAGATCGATAGTGAGATCGATGTGGTGTCCTGTGGTGTTCCGAGGTGTCCCGTTGAGTGAGATCGGTAGTGAGATCGATTGAGTCAGATGTTGGTTCCCCACCTCTCTCTCTCTCTCTCTCTCTCTCCCCCCGAAACCTCCATTTCACCCGAAGTGTGGTCGTATAGATATGTATGTTTATGCGTTGTTTGCAAATCTCGGAGGTTGAGGGTGAGATCGCAGTGGAACGGAGGCCCCCAACCGGGAAATCGTTTCGGTTCGTTCGTGCCGTGCGTGCGGGCGAGGCGAAGCTGCGTGGGCGCGCGAGAGGAATGAACCCGCTGTTGCTAGGGCGGAGTCAAGACAACTGCTGCTCCTCGGTCCGTCCGTCCGTCTGGCGGTGGCCCGCGGTGGCCCGCGGTGGCCCGTGGTGTCCCGTGGTGTACCGTTAAGTGAGATCGATAGTGAGATCGATAGTGAGGTCGATAATGAGATCGATATTTAGATCGATATTGAGATCGATGTGGTGCCCCGAGTTGTCCCATGGTGTCCCGTGTTGTCCCAAAAAGTGAGATCGATAGTGAGATCGACAGGTGTCTGGTGGTCCCGTGGTGTCCCGTTGAGTGAGATCGATAGTGAGATCGATATTGAGATCGATGTGGTGTCCCGCCTTGTCCTGTGGTGTCCCGTTGAATGAGATCGATATTGAGATCGATAGTGAGACCGATAGTGAGATCGCCAGGTGTCTCGCGGTGTCCCGTGGTGTCCCGTGGTGGCCCGTGGTGTCCCGTGGTGTCCCGTGGTGTCCCGTTGAGTGAGATCGATAGTGAGATCGATTGAGTCAGATATTGGTTCCCCCCCCTCTCCCCCCCCCCACAACCTCCTTTTCACCCGAAGCGTGAGAGAAGCTGGGCAGTGCCCCAACCTTTGACCGGCCCCCCCCACCCCACCCCGCTTCCCCTGCTCTCTCCATGCGCCTCCTCCCCTGTCCAGTGTATGCACATCACGGGATCGCGGCCACTGATCACCAGTACTGGGTGATCATCTCGTGTTCGGCGATCGCGTAGCCGATTTGCCCGATTACGGGATCAGATGATCCCGGTCACTGCTGATCACGTGACCCGATGTGACTGGGTAAATCGGAGAGGGGGCGGGAGCAGGGACGGAGGGGAGGAGGAGATTAGTTTCTTCCTCCTCCTCCTCTTCCTTGTCTCGCTCGTTCTCCTCGTTTTCCTCCTGGCCTCTCCGCGCGGTCCCTTTTGCCGACACCCCACAGGTTAGGCGCACCAGGCGCGGTATCACGAGGTGTTCGCGCGGCGCCGAGGCCATGACGTACCCCTCCGACAAGAGAGGGAGAGAAGGGAGAGTAATCGGAGGAGGACGGCAAGGAGGGGGAAAGGGAGGAGAGGGAGGGGAGGAGGGGGGAGGAGGAGGAGGAGGAGGAGGAGGAGGAGGAGGAGGAGGAGGAGGAGGAGGAGGAGCAGGAGCAGGAGGAGGAGCAGGAGGAGCAGGAGGAAAGAGGATCGGGTGGAGGAGCGCGTGGAGGAGGAGCAGGAGGATGACTGCATGATCGAATCAGAAGGAGGACGAAGGAGCACAGGGACGAGGTGGGATAAGTATTCGAAACAGGAGGTGGCGGAAGAGGAGGAGGAGGAGGAAACTAATGATTCATTCAGAGAAGAAGAGGGGGGGGGGAGGAGGAGGAGGAGGAGGAGGAGGAGGAGGAGGAGGAGGAGGAGAAGGCGTAGGAGAAGGAGGAGGAGGAGGCAAGCTAGGTGCGCTCGCGTCATATCTGACGTTCTACCCCTCCCTCCCATCCATGCCCATGGCGTAGATCTCTTCTCGGTTCTCACAATTGGATGTCATAGCATGGCGTAGGATCACATGGCATAGCATGGTGTAACATGTCAACGCGTAGCATGACACAGCATGGCGTGGCGAAGCCCCAAAGTGGGGGGGCTTCTGCGGCCCAAGAAATCAACAAATCGACACGGAATGTATACCCACTTCCGATGGTTCCTACCGGAGGCAATGTTTTAGATGTGGGGCTTATTTGGATGGACCGAAACCATGCCGTGGCATGGCACTGGAAATAATGACGCCAGCTCTGCAGCGGGAGCACGATTCGGAACGAGCAGAAGCGCGGAAATGAGGCCAGCGCTGCAGCGGGAACACGATTCGGAGGATTCGGAGCCTGACATAGCATAGCGTGGCGACGCCCCAAAGTGTGGGGGGGCGTCTGCGACCAAACAAATCAACGAATCGACAGCGAGTGTGTAATCACTTCCGATGGTTTTTTCGGGGGGGCATTTTCTAGAATTTGGAGCCTATTTGGATGGACCGAAAACCATGCCGTGGCATGGCGCTGGAAATCATGACGTCAGCGCTGCAGCGGGAGCACGATTCGGAACGAGTGGAAGCGCGGAAATGAGGCCAGCGCTTCAGCGGGAGCACGATTCGGATTGAGCGGGTGCCCGAAAATGAAGCCAGCGCCTCATCGAGAGCAGAACTTTGAAACAAATACCCAAGCGAAAACCCGTTTCCCGGAAATCCTGTGTGTAAGATACCAGTACGCGGAGGGTGGCCGGCCACTTCCCGGACGCCATCAGGGGAGACAGGAGAGTAGTACTCATATTGCGTAAGTGTAGAAGGAGAAAATGTCCATGCTAAGGAAAAAGAACAAGCCATTATAAACATAATGATTCTAATGCTAATAATACTAATCATCGTCATCACCATCACCATCACCATCACCATCACCATCGCCATCACCATCATCATCATCATCATCATCATCATCATCATCATCATCATCATCATCATCATCATCATCATCATCATCATAGTAAGAATAATGAGTGCAGTCTCGAAGGTGGACCTTGGAGCAAGATTCCAAATGAGGAGGCAATGACATTGGAGGATGAGCCTAGACAGAAGAAGGAGGAACGGAGGAGGACGAGGACGAGGAGGGAGTGAGACATGCCTGCCATGTGGGGCATGTAAGGCAAAAAGGGTGGCAGAAAGGGGAAGGCCTGGAGACGCAGGAGGACTCAGGGCTCAGTTCGTCGTCGCCGTCGTGTGGGTGGCTGCTGCGTTTCTCTCTGCCTGATCCTCGCGCCCTTGCGGGGCGCGCAGGGGCCAACCTAGGATCCTAAGATGCCCCCTCATCCTCCGTCATTGTCGACCCTTCTCCCTCCTTCCTCTCCCGCTCTCCCCCTCCACCCCTTTCTCTCTCACTCCTTCTTATCCTTCTCCCTCGCCCCTTCTCCCCTCCATTCCTCGCCTCGCCCCTCCCTTTGACCTCGCTGTCCGCCTCGTCTTGCCGCTGCCGGCCCCGGTCGCCCCCGCGCTTTTTTCACGACGCGGCCCCCGGAGCTCTCGACCCCCGGAGCTCTCGACCCCGCCCAGGGCCGAAGTGACGGGCCTCGAGCGGCCGGAGACGCGTCGGCCGCCGCCCATCGCTTCCAGGCGCCTTAGGTCTGGACCCCGCCCCGCCGGCGCCCCCTTCCTCGGAGGCCACCCGAGAAGCCTCCAGGGGCGTCTCCCTGCGAGGCCTCCAGGATGCCGCAGGAGGCCCCAAGTGACAACATCTCGTCACGAGGGCTCCAGTATTCGCGCTTCGCGTTTCCCCCACCAGCCCTCCTGGCAAGCAGGTACGCCCGCGCTCGGCGGTTTTGTATGGACGGCAGACGTAGAGTCGCGGCAAGCAAGCGCGGGGGGCCTCCCGGCGTGGGAGGGCCGTGCCGTCGCCTGGACCAACCGCAGCTGGAACGCCACATGGATGTGCCGCCAATGCCTCGTTCACGCATGGGACGCCAAGCCCAGTGGCGGGGTGCTACGTAAAACCTCTTGGGGCCATCTTGTAAGGAGGGGGGATCCTCCTTTTGCCTCTCCCCCTTGGGCCATCGCACATTGCCTCTTGCGGCGCTCTTGGGCCGATCTTGGGCGCTCTTGGGAGCGTCTGGGGGGGGGCCTCTTGGGCCCGTTTGGGCCTCGCGTGGGCCCTCTTGGAGTCATCTTGAGGCATCAAAAGCGCCTCGGAAGCCGAAAGGCGAGAGGGCAACAATGTGGGGGCTCCGAGGGTACTTGGAGCCGTAATGTGGCCTTCTTCGGGCCTCGTCGGAGGTGTGTTGGAAGCTATTTTGAACCATCTTCGGCTATCTTGAGCCACCTTGGAGGACATCTTGAAGCATCGGAGGCCCTCGTGGAGCCATCTTGGGCGAAAAAGGACTCCCTTGTCACCTCGCGAACCCCCCCAAGCAACCTCAGGGAGGGGAGAGGAGGGTTCCCCTCCCCGATGGGAAAAAGGCTTTGGAAGGGGAAAAGACCACCTTGGCCCAAATGGCTGGTGGGATGTTGCAACACCCTTCGCCCGCCTCCTGGTCGTATTGTTGCACAAGCGTTCCCGGAGAAGTTGGGCCAGAAACATCTTGAGCCCAACATCTCGTACGTAGCGCTTGCCGATGTTAAGGCCAGGGGGCGGAGAGGGGAGTTTGTTTTTTTCTAGTTTGGGCGGACGTTGTTCTTGCAAAGTGTGTTACTCTCTTGGCCTTCCAGGTGACGTCCGAGCAGATGGTGTCGGAGGATCGCGCCACATCGCCGATGCATCGGCGATGCGGCGCGATCCTCCGACCCCCCTCTTCTCGGACCCCACCCAGCCAGGAGGCCCATAGTTTGTCGGCGCCCCCCCTGCGCGAACGAGGCCCCTCCCCGCAGGAGCTGGCCCCCTAGCCTCCCCCCCCCCGCGCGAGGGAGGCCCCTCCGGCCCCCCGGCCCGCCGAGGTGGTCTACGCCGCCTCCCAGTGGACGGCGCTGGAGCTGGACGCGGAGGCGCCTGCGCCCTCGCCCCCGCCCCGGTAGTTCGGTCGCCCCCGCCCCTGCTCCCGCCCCCGCTTCCCTGCGCTCCCCGTCCCAGCGGCCAACGTGACGTTCGTCGAGTCCAGGACCCCCAGATGGGGTCCGAGCACACGGGGTCGGAGGAGTGCACCGCTTCGCCGATGCATTTCAGAAGGCGAATTCCCACCCCCACCCCCAGTCCCGACTCCCATCCCCGAACCCGCGATCCAGGGGGGGTCGGGACTGGGGGTGGGGGCGTTTTCTTCATATTTGGATCCCGAAGAGCCCCCCCCACCCCCGGTCCCGACTCCCTGGATCGCGGGTTCGGGGATGGGGTCGGGACTGGGGGTGGGGGTGGCTTGTCGCCCTCCCAGCATTTGCGGTGCGGCTCGATGCGGAGCCAGATCTTCTCCATGCCGGCGGCGCCGATGCATCGCCGACGTCGCCAGTGCATCGCCAGTGCATCGCATCGCCGCTGCTGCTCGGTCCTCCGACCTGGGGCCACCACGAGGGTGCGAAGTTGGTCGCGCTTCGCGGTCTGGGCGGTTGCAGGGCGGGGCGCGAGTGCCTCACCCTGCTTCCGAGGGGGCGGGGCGAAGCGAAAGCGCGAAGCTAATCGCGCTTCGCAGAGCGCGAAGCGCGAAGATAGTTGCCCTAGCTCTCCCGTCCCTTCTCCCCCCTCCTCGTCGTCCCTCCTCCTCCCCCTAGTTCCTCCCTCCCTCCCACCCTCGTCCCGTCGATGCCGCCTCGGCTTGTCGTTTCCGTCTCGGCTCCCCCCCATCGTAGACGGCCGCAGGGAGGAGTACCAACGCACTTCCACAATTCAGGCCTTCTTGACCTTGAGGCGCTAATTGCCACCATCCACCATTGTCCCTCCTCCTGCCCCGCCTCCTCGTCCTCCTACCCCTTTTTGTTGCTGTCTTTCCTCCTGGCGTCCTCTCTCCATAGGTCTGCCTCCTATAGAGTCCTGTTCCCTGCCCTGCTTAATGTTTTCGTTTTCCTGCTGCCAGTTGCGGCCCAATGCGGCCGCGTATCGTTCCCTTGTTTGGCGCGTTAGCTCCGCGTAAGACATTTCGCCGCGTTTGATACAAATACATCTTGCAACTGTGCATCCTTTTGTCGTAGTTTCTAGCGGAGTTCCGGCACCCTTCCACTACCTCCCGCCGCCATTGCCCGCGCGGTATGTCCGCCAGCCCTTTGTTTTTCGGTTCCTTCCCCATCTTCTCCACCGAGTTCTGCAAGAATGATACAGCTGTGCTTGCTCACCGTGTTCATGATCCTCTTGTCCACTTACCTGGACAAGTACGTTTCGAAAAGTCCAAGTAGCGCGGTGCCCGCCCGCTGCCGCAACCTGCCTCCCTCCAAGGGCGTACTTCAAGTGTGTTGGGGCCGCTGTCGGTGCCACATGTCGGGCCTACGACTGAAAATACAGAGTCGTTCCCATCAACAGCTTCAACCCGTACCTGTCGCAATTGTGTTGCGGGGGCCTTGGGGAAGGCAGGCGGATAAGAGCACGGATAAGAGTGGAGACTCAGCGGAGCGCTGGACAATTATATAGTTATGTTTCTATGGGGCAGCCAAGCAGGTCTGGGTCTATCTGTCAACGCCCTCTTTGCGCGTAACATATCAGCACACCCGCCAACGCCCTACAGACTGGCAGGACGTGGTCCCGATGCGCACTCTTCTGGACGATCGTGAAATGGCGGCGTTCAGCACATTGACGACACGACGCGCGAGGGATATTCTCGCAACTGCGTCGCGCGGTGTCCCAAGTGTGGCGACAACCGCAACGACGCGACAGACGACAGTGCCGAATGCGATGACGAATTCGGCAGGGCCCCACGACGGCTCCGAAGGTCTTGGTCAGAGCAACGTCGTCGGGTCGCACCCGGCCTCCAGCGCCTCCTTGATCTATGGAGGGGCCTCCACCCCAGATGGAAGGCCATCGGAGTGGGCATGCCTGCCCTGGCTCACCTCTTTGGACGCCGGCGGCGGCAACGGCGGCATGCGACACCTCCGCGCCAGGGGGCCCGAGCAGCAATCTCGGTTTCTCTTCCAACGTTTGGCGCGGGAGGTAATGATTTGGTCAGTGGCGAACTCCGACCTCAAAGAGTTTCACCAGGCGGCCCACGCTTCATCGCGGCTCACCGGCATTGGCCGAGAATGCGCGGACGATCGGCCGCCAGTTGTCTTCGCGCGGGGGGGGCGCCATCAACGGCATTCCAGTGGCACCGATGACCTTCCCGCTGCGCAGCTTGGTCGAACGCCGGGGCCAACTGGGCGGGGGGGGCGCGCCTCGGCAGTCTCAGCGCTCATGAACTTCGACCGACTGCTGCAGGAGCACATGGGTGAGTTCCGCGCGCGCTTTGACATGCCCCGCGACCGCGACCAGCAAGCTGGGCAAAGCATGCTTGGCTTCGAGGGTCCCAGCTTCTTCCTCTCGCGAGCAGTGGGATTGTCAAGCGCGCAGCTGGCCATGCCCTTGCAACATTTCAAATGGCTTACCCGACCAACGCAGCACAGCTCGCGCGCGTGACGGGGCATTTGCGACGCTGCGGGCACATGGTCGAGGGGTCGCCTGACGCCTGGCAACCTCGCCTCAGCGGTGCACTTAGCCCAGCGGCAAAGTTTCCTCGCGGGCGCGCCTGCACAAGATCAGGCCCAGAGTGCTTGTGACACGACAGTCAGATCGAGCCGGGGCGGCCTGGGCCCATCCGCGCTGGGGCGGCGCCGAGCCCGCGTGCAGCAGGACCGCCGGCGCAGGAGGCATTCCGGGCAGCTGCCGTTGACTCGCCGACGCCGACGCCGCCAGCTCATTCGGCGAAAGCCACATAGCTGCCGACGACACCGAGCTACGCGACGCCCCCGTGAAACAGCGCAGCGCGCGCTTATTCTGGGTGCGCGAGCGCGCTAAAGCACGATGGCAACGCGTCAGCAACCGCAAGCCCACGCGCCGCGGTGGGTCATTGGGAGGGAGGGCAGGGTCCGCGGCAAGGGCTACCGGGCCTTCCTGGCCGCCTTGTCTGAATGGGGTTTGAAAATGGTCTCCGAGAGACATTCGCGGGCTCCGGGAAGGGCGCGGCAGGGGAACTGGGCCGCCAAGGCAACCTCATATGGTTACTGGCGGGGCGCGATTTCAATTCCACGAGCGTGACTCAGAGGGGGAGCGCCCCGTGCGCGACTGCCCCCGGCGCCGCAACCAAGGGCGCGCTTTCTTGTTCGACGCCGCGCGCCGTGAACTCCGGGACAGCCATCGGCCACCGAGCCGGGCGGAGCAGCAGCCTCTGGCTATCGCGCGCGCGGTTGAGGCGGCCAGGGGCCCCGCCAGCCAAAGGCAGATCACGCTGGCAGTCTCGGGCGCGAGTGGCCCCGCGCAGGGGGCTGGCCCTTGGAGCAGCGGACCGCCCGCGCAAGCATCGGCAGCGCCGCGGCCAGCAGCAGCAGCAGCTACTGCGCCATGTTCGTCGCCCAACGGTTCGCGGCAGCATCTCGTTCCGTAAGTGCGTTGCAGGCCCAACCAGCAGGGCAGGGGGGGCCGGCGCTGGCCGCGCCTGCAGCGCCGACAGCTCCTCCAGCACCACCAGCGGACTCGAGTTGTCGGCGCTTCCCCCCTGGGACAGGACCAGGGGCGCGACGGGCCAGGCGGCCTCCGCGCCGGGGCCGCGGCTCCCATGCCGCCAGCTGCCGACGCGCAGCTGCCGAGTTGGGCTTACATGATATCAACGGCCTTGCTCGGCATCAGCACGCAACGCGGATCGATCTTCACATGGGCGCCGCAGTCGGCGCCGGCGCCTGCGCCGCCGCCAGTGCCGGACACCCCCTCTGGATTGGCCCTGTTCAACGCAGCCAGGCCAGTGGGCGCGGGCCAACCGTCGGGGGAAACGGCCATGCGGTTTGCCGTCCGCGATACATAGACGCCCGGCGGCAATCAGTCGGAGCGCAGCGCGCGATCACGAGCTCCTCAGCACGGCGCAGTTGGCCCTAGGGCTGCCGCGACAGCAGGCGCGCCAGCATGGCCGAGCCGCGCGGAGTTGGGGCGCGACGCGGACGAATCCCCCTCTAGTGCCGGCTGCAGCACCAGCTGCAGCCCCCACACGGCGACGATGGGGAGTGCCCAGTCTGTTTCAAAGCCTTCGTCCACGACGGGAGGGTTGCACGACTGCTGCGCCGACGGATTCTGCGCTGTGCGTGCCACCTACAGATTGCGCAGAACGCCGACACCATCCTGGTTTATTGCCCGGCATGCCGCGGACCAGCCGACGCCATCGCCGACTTTCGCATCGCTGGTGCAGATCGCGAACGCGCGGGTCTGACAATTGCGTTGCTGGCTCGCGACGCAGGCGCAGGAGACACGCCGCAGGAGACACCATCACAGCAGGACGCAACACTTTGTCCTCAGCCAGCTCCAGCACTTTGGACCCCGCGGCAAGATCTTCCGGGATCTCCAGGCAGTGCTTCCGATTTCTCGTCCGCGGCAGACATGCCATTGCCATGTGGCGCTCGCCTGGACTTGCCCGTGCTTCCGTGCAGGCCTACGTCGCATGGCCTGCGCTCCCGTGGTGGCCGACATCGCCAGTTACAGGCTCGAGCTCCCAGGGCGACTCGCCGCGCTTCGTGGCAAGCGCTTCACTTTCAGGCTGCCGATTACGCGTCGCCGCCGACACCGTCGCCTGGATCAACTTCTGGGGCATGCGATTCGCACGGAGCTTGGCCTGGCGAGCCGCGCAGGCGAAGCTCCAACCCTCGGCGGAGAGGTTCCGCTCCACTGCGCGCGGCAGGAGTGGGCAACGGGTCGTAAATGGTAAAATGGAAAATCCACTGTCCCATCGCCACAACCCCATGCGATAGTGCGACCACCCATCACAGTATGCACGACGCGGCCGTGAGGGGCGCAGGCAAAGCCTTCCCTGCCCAGGGTCTGCCATCCATGCAGTCCAACAGAGAGGTGGTGGAGACTGGCGCCAACCGCGCGCTCCTCGCCTTCCCCGAACCGG